CTCCAGCTGTCACTATCATAGAGGCAATAAAAGCCCCCCCCCCAAAAATAATTAATTAAGTAACTGTCATAGAGTTATGCAGAAAGTTCAACTTAATGTTATTAAAAATAATAATCATTTGATGCAGAGATCTTGAAATGTCAGTGAATAATTTAAGACTATGTGGAGGACAGAATGTCCCATTAGTGCGTTTCAGTTGAGGATGTATCATTGGTGCAGCTCAGAAAGTCAGTACTAATAAGGCTGTCTGCTTTGTGCAGCCAGATCACTTGTCTTTTATTTTCAAGGACAAGACTTTTGTGTAAGAAATAAAGACACTATTTTCGCTATTTTGCCAGAAGGTGAATTATTTCTTGCCAAAATAATTTTTTTCTGCATTTTAAGAGAGACCGGAAAACCGGAAATTAGTTTTAGCACTTTTGGTTCCCTGGCCTCAGAGTAAATGGGTTTTTGGTTGAATGTCTGAAAAAAGGTCTGTGGTTAACACAACCGTGGGGGTTTTTCTCGTTTTATTCTTCGACATAAAATACATATTTTTCTGAAATTCTGAAGCTTTTTTTTGTGTGTCTTAAAAAGGGCGGTTGCTAAAAAGTGGCTAAAGGAGAATAAAGAGGTTGTCTATTATTATCTTTATAATATCTTTATCTTTGTCTATAATTATCTATCTACTCACTAGTCCATACAGCCCTGTTGTGTTTATACTTGCACTCTTGCAAACTAACTCAAACTTTACAACTTGCAGATTTTAATTACACAATTTAAGTTGGAAGTAATGCGACTGTGGTGTAGTTCGTTTATAGCCAGCGTTAGCTTTTTACTTCTGGTGATTGCATTTACGCTTCAAAAATCATAAAAGTGGTATTAATTTATGAAGATAATATTGCTGAAGAAAACGTTTAAGTATCATAAACTTTTGTTCCCAATCCAAAATCCAATGGAAAGATGCCATTGAATTTTTGCTATAGGAACCAGGATGATGCTAACCTCCTGCAGTTCTCTATTAGGAAGCAATGCACAGAAGCAGACACACGCTCTTTTAGTATTTTTAAACAGACAACACCCACAGAATGTCCCTCATATTATTGATAAAGATGTCCTTTTTTTCATTCTTGCAGCCCCTCTTGTCCTCCTGAATTGATGGGTATGTTCCTAGCCAGCAATCATGAGCCAATAATCTTTCCCAGACAGCCTAGGTGTCCTCAGACTCATCCATGCACGGGTGATTGATCCCCAAGACCGACTACAATACTGTACCATCCATCCTCAAAGCTAAAAGAGACTCTCTGTGCGGAGTGTGTGTGTGTGGGCATCAGTCACAGTTTTAGTTTCAGCTCATGGGCAGAGCAGCGCTGGAGCCAGAAATATAGCAGTCATTAGCTGGGGTCATGTTGGACTCAAAGGCGACAGGTGTAAGAGAGGTAGCAGTTAACACTGTGACACCCACTGCAGTCTGTTTCTGTAATGTCTGTTTTCAGTTGTCACCTTCTCCATCCTCCCTTCCACACACACATACGCACACAAAACTTGTACTTCCTTTGATCTCGTGTTGCTCTGCACTTCTTAGACACATATATTCACATTTGAATTAACACAGCAGATTGTAATAAGGGAAAAAATATCAGACTGGTCCTGCCTGTTGTTACATCATGCTGTCTCTCTGTCCTTCAAATGCTGCTGACATGAGAAGTGCGAGCTGCAGATGAGCATTGGCATTGTGACAAACACATTGCAATACGTGTTTTATGTTATATAACTGACTTCAGAGGTACATGTTTGGTTTGTCAGTTCTAGGCTACTTTAGAAACATGACGATTCAACTTGCGGCGGACTCCGTCTGCATTTAAAAACAGCTCATCCTAAGGTAACAAAAACACAACAATTCTTATTTTCACACCTATGAATATTATATTGCATTTCTACCAATAGAGTCTCCTAAATGTTACACACTGGACCTTTAA